TGCTCCTTGTTAAACTGTAGTTTACTTAGACTGCCTCTTGTTCTGTATGTAGCTGTTTCCTTTTTGTAATTTGCAATATATCCTGGAGATAGTGTGATAATGCTAACAGGTCCAGAGGGCATTCCTAAATATTTGATCGCCTTCCTTCAAGGTTTTTATTTTCCAACACTGGTCATCTCAGCTCGTCCTGTAGTGATCCCTTAGTGCCCAGGTTGGTGTCCCTTCTATAGCTTTGTGAAACTGCTTCTCCAGCAGAGGGCGGTATGTGCCCAGGCATCCAAAGGGCTTTTTTTTCAAAAGTGGTAGGAAGATGCCCCAGACTGCTTTTCTGAGACCAGAAGTTATAAATTAGTGTGCACAAGCAAATCATCTCATTTCATTTGTGTGGAAGATGCATACTAGACGCATGCAAGTATTAAAATCGGAAAAGCTTTATTCAGTACTTTGAAGCAGGGGAAAGGGGGCAGGTGACAAACTTTGATAGGACAGTTTCTTCTGTCAACTTTGACTTATTTTTTTTTATTAAAAGATCATTTTATTGGGGCCTCTTACAACTCTTATTACCATCCATACGTCAATTGTATCAGGCATGTTTGTACATATATTGCCTTCATTCTAAAAATTTACTTTCTTTTTTTAAATCATTTTATTAGGGCCGCTTACAACTCTTATCACAATCCATGCATGCATCCATTGTAACTTTGACTTAATTTTATGTTGTTGATATGTTCCTGTATTCAGCTGACATACTTTTTAGAATAAGACTATAAGTACTATAAATTATCAATTTAAGAAGCGTCAAACATGCATGGACAAATCTCACCACCTGTTATTTTAACTTTACCATGAACTTTTAGAAGCCCCCTTGTATGTATTTATATAACTAGTAATTGAGATTTCGAACTCCTCTCATTTCATTTTCTTATTATAAATTTTATATTATATTATAATATATTATAAAATTTTGGAAAGCCACTGAAAAGTACACCATTTGGGGGTATATTTTCCAAGCCTTTCACCTTCTCTACTTTTATTCATGTATACATTGATTTTTAGTATGATTTTCACTTAGAAGTGAATCGTCTCTAGCGTTCTGTGTCTCTGAACATGAGCCTGCATCATTATTTGTAGTGGAACTGTGTGGAAATGGAGTCGATGCACTGTGGCTTATTTAGTTACATGTAGGTGGCCTGCTTTTTTCCCTTTAAGTTTCAATGGCCTATAATTCACATGTAAAAAAATCCAATTATTACTCACATCCAGAAGAGGGGTGCAGTCATCGCTACCACCAGTTTTCAGTCATTTTCCTCATTCTTGTACGTTTCATTATTCGCTCCCCATTCCACCTTTACCTTTCTGGCCAGAAGCCATTACAGTTACTGTCTCTATAGATGTACGTACCTATCAAGGGTTTAATATATAGAAAAGACATTTTAAAAACAAAACAAAACAAAAAACCTAACAATAATAACCAAAGTAAAACAGATAAAAATGGAAGTGACCCTTTATGGCCACACCCAGGCCTGGAATGACTGTCTCTGCCATATACCTGTCTGTGCATGTTGGAATTTTTTATTTTTTATTTTTTGCGAGAGTTAATTCCTGGGAATGCTATTACACCTCTCCTCCCACTCCCTGGATTTGGTATATGTTGCCTATTTTTTCCTCCTAAAATGTATTCATTTTACCGGTGTATAAGAATCATAATAAGTCTCTCTTCCTTTTTAGTTCAAACAAGTGAACTACATGTTTCGATCACACACAGTCCTTCTTTCGGTCTCTGTTTTCCCCAACAGATGGGAACTCACTTGCAAACCACTATTTGGTGCCTGGGGGCCAGCGTAGACTGTCTTAGCATGAGACAGATCTAGGTTGAATCTCAGCCTCTCTGTCTTAGCTGTGTGACCTTGGGCAAGTTTCCCATCCCTTGAGTCTGAGAATTCCATCTTGGTTGGGGGTGGGGGCTGTTGTGAAGTGCCCATGGGAAAATGTAGTTTTGGGGACGTTGAGTGTCTAGAAATAAAATTCACACTCTCCCCCCTTGTTTCTCCTTACCCATTTAGTGCCCCAAGCCAGGGAAATAACTGGGACACCAAAGTCACATCATTTCTCTTCTTGTGTTGTGTGGCCCTAACACAGACCTTGACAGTCATTAGGTCTTGATGGTTGTTGATTGTGACAAACAATTGGCTAAACTGGACAGAAACAGCAGGGTCCCGAGATGCCATGCTGGGTCTGCATATGACGGATAAAGCTTGTGAGACATAGCTCAGCCTTATTTATGGGCTTGAGTCACTACAAAGCTTCTCCGGCCCATGAATCTTTCCTCTTCACACTCTGCCCTCCACAGCACTGTTCACTTCCCCTCTGAGGACCTCGGGGTCTGAGTGTCTGGGGGGAGCGGAGGGTTTCACTTCGGGGCTTCCAGGGGCCAGCTCTTTGAAGAAAGACAATGAAAAGCCCAGAAGGAGCATCAGCACCGGGATGGGCTGGGCTGCCCCTTGTTTGACTTCAGGCTCCTCCAAAAGAGAGAGGCCACTGGAGATAAGCAGTTTGAAGACATTGCTCTCTGTCCCTTTGTTACATAATGTCATTGCACACGTCACTGTTTATGTGCGTATCTGTCTTCTCTCTCTCTCTCTTGGAATTGTCTTTAAAAGTCTCACTTTAGCCACACTGTATGCACAGCGAGGGATGACATCATGTGCTTTTGAGAGTGCGCCTCCCATGTTTATCTTCCCTGCCGGTCCTGCTCGCCAACCTCCGGACGACCTTCACTGAGGCTGCCCACCTCTGCCGTTTCCATCTGGCTGTGGCCGTTCCTCCTGACTTATTACTGAGGAAGAATCATTGCAGCTCCCTTGAGTACAAAGAGATCCACAGAGAGCTATGTAGTTTTCCAGTGTCTAAATTGTTTCCGTAAGAGCAAATGGCCGGGCATTTTGCTGTCGTTTCTATAGCAATGTGTCATTTCTTTGTGGCTGTGATGACTAAAGGCTAAATAGCCACAAAGGCAGAGTTTGGGCTCTGGAGCTGGTGTGCTTTTGATGGTCACCTTACTTAGCATCCTGCCTTTGACCGGGCATCAGCCGCCCGGCCCAGGAGGAGCTGAGTCTTGGTGGAGCTGATCTCGGACTGCAAGCTAGCTTTCTGAACCAATGGTGTGATTTATTTACCATGTGCTTGGTGTGTGGCTGCTCTGTCGCTGAGAAAGATTTGGAGTGCCTCAGCCATCTGTTTACATCCTTGTTATGCCATTCCAAATCACATGCAATGAAACAATTACTACTCAGATCCGACACTAGGACAACTTGAAGTGGTAGCCTTAAATGTCAAATAAAGGATGCTCCCCTCCCCCCTACCATTTTTATGAAGCACCAGAATAGGCAATAAAGTATATAGTCTTTTCCATTGGAGACAATTGACATAAAAATAGCTATTAAAATAAACTAGGTGGCCGTGCATGTGAAAGTTGGATGTTGAATAAGGAAGATCGAAGAAGAATCGGTGCATTTGAATTGTGGTGCTGGAGAAGAGTATTGAAAGTATCATGGACTGCTAAAAGAAAAACCGATCTGTCGTGGAAGAAATGAGGCCAGAGTGCTCCTTAGAGGCAAGGATGGCAGAATTTCATCGCACGTACTTTGGGCATGCTCTCAGGAGACACCAGCCCCTGGAGAAGGACCTCATGCTTGGTAAAATGGAGGGGCAGCGAACAAGAGGAAGGCCCTCAGCAAGATGGATTGACATGGTGATTGTACCAATGAGCTCAGCATAGGAACAATTGTTAGGGTAACACAGGACTGTGCAGTGCTTTGTTCTGTTGTGCACAGGGTCACTATGGGTGGGAACCAATTCAAAGGCACCTAATAAAAGCAGTAGGTGCATGTGAGCCCAGCTGATTTAGTTACTAACATGCCACTTGAAAAATATGCCAATGCAGAAAAGGACCGCCTGTGCTGGCCTTCCATCCTGCTGTTGTCTCAGGAGACCTTCCCAGCAGCAGTGGACCATTTGGCAAGCCAGTGTGGGCATCTGCCCCGTGTAGATCTCTCAGTGTTGGGGCTTTCCTCTGGCAATGAAATGCATTGGTTAAAAAGTTCCATACTGACGCTTTTAGAAAATGGTGATGAATTCTCCTATCAAAGTAGTTGAATTGTGCTGTTTTTCTCATATTTGTGTCCCTAGGGAAAACCACATAACGTTATTTTGAGAGAATGACAAGTGAAACTGTAACGTGGGTAGCTTTTCAGAGAGAGGGGGTACAATCTGTTTTGATCCTTGTGACTGGAGACTTGGAGACCAAAGAGAATCATGTATTGTTGTTAGGGCGGCCGAGTCTGTTCCAACTTACAGTGACCCTATGGGCGGCAGGAGGGCGCTCTAGCGGCATGGTGGCTACGTGTTGGGCTGCTCACCACAGGTCAGCAGTTTGAAACCACCAGCCAGCTCCAAGGGAGAGAGATGACGCTTTCTGCTCCCATGAAGTGTGCAGTCTCAGACGCTCACGGGCACTTCTGCCCTGCCCTGTAGGGTTGCTATGTTGAGCTGGCATCAACCTGGTAGCAGTGACAACAGCTCGATAGTTGTATCTACACTATCACCACCTGAGTAGATATGGCCCAGTGTGTGTGACTTAAGAATCCTTCAAGTTTTCTTTGAAAAGTAGGCCTGATCATTTTTCTCAGGATTGCTGTTCGTCCGGCTTTGAAATGCTACGTGCTGTAATAAATTTATGATTATTAACTCGAGTTTATTTCTGATATCCATTTCACTATTTCAAAGGGCAGCTTAGGCACAAAGGTAAGTATTAATAATACATTTACAAAGACTTTTTTGGTTAGAACACCAAAAGGGAAGAAAATGCTAAGCATTTCTTAAACTGAAAGAACTAGAGGGGAAAAAAAGGCTCAAGCTATAATATTGAAGGATTCCATATGTAAAATATTGAATGATGTAGGAAGTATCAAAAAGTGGAAGGGAAACACCAAGTCACGATACCAAAAATAAGTGGTCGTCATTCAGCTATTTAAGAAGTCGCATATGATTTAAAACTGATGATGCTGAGAGAAGTCTAAGCTGCACTGATGGCACTGGCAAAAAGTAAGGCTCTCCGAATTGATGAAATACCAATTAAGATGTTTCAACCAGCTTTCGGCGACACTGGAAGTACTCACCTCCCTGCCAAGATGTTTGGAAGACCTGGGCATCGGACTGGAAGAGATCCATATCTGTGCCCATTCTAGAGAGAGGTAACCCGATAAAATGCAGAAACTATCGAACAGTATGATTAAGACCACACAAGTGATGTGTACTAAAACCAGTTTAAAAATGGCTAAGGCAGTACATCAACAGAGGACTGTCAGAAATTAAAGCTGGATTCTAAAGAAGAAGGCACGGGAATAGCATTATAAGCATCAGCTTGACCTTGGCTTGTGGCAGAGGGTACCAGAAAGAAGTCTGCGTGTGTTATTGCCTACGCAAACTTTGGAGAACATTGAGAAGTGGGAATTCCAGAACACTATGTTGTGCTCACGTAGAGCCTGTACATGGACTGGGTCATTTGTGCAAAAAGAAGAAAAGAATATTACCTGGTTTAAAGTCAGGAGATGCTAAAAAAAAAATTCCAGCAACACCTGTTATATACTTTAAATGTAATGAATTTACTTTTTGAAATGATTGCATGATCTAGGCGTTACTGTGTAAGATGTTGTCCCAAAAGGTTGTCGTTTAAAACAAAACAGACCTTGGTTGTACCCTAGTGTCCACTGGTTAGGCATTTATTTCCCTGTTGCTTAGCTGAAGAAGGGTTGTGACTCAGAGCCTCTCGTGGGTCAATAGTTAACCCCGCTGCACTCATCTGAAGGTTTGACTGGGGCTGGAGGCTCTGCTTCTAAGGCGGCTCACCAGCATGACAGTGAGCGGCCAGCCGGGGGCTTCAGTCTCCATTGATTGCGTGAGTGTGGCAGCCGGCTTCTGGCAGAGTGCAAGCAGGAAGCTCTCTGGGCACGTGTAACCGAGTCTCTGAGCTGAATGCTCCCACTTTCACTTTTTGCTGACAGAAATGAGTCAAGTTTATCCGACACTCAACTGGATGCTGGAGGTCCTTCAGACTCTGCCCTTTGAAGGGAGTGTGAGAATTGTAGACATGTTTTCAACCACCACAACCTTTGAAGTTGACTTCAAAGGCGCCTTGTATACACATACATGTACCTTCCCTGAAGTTTGTACCTGATCCTAAAAGTGTCCCAATTGAATTTTTAGAATTCAGGTCACTGACCTTGAAAAGGAGACTCAGAATTTCGAGAAGGAGGGGCTTGATTGTGACTTCTCATCACGCAAATGACAAAATCAAGATAGAAGAATGTCTGTGAATGTCTTTAAGTTCCGTGCTTGCTGTCAACGTTACGGTTGCCCCAACACTCCAGATCTCTTGATGATGAGATGGGGCCCTTCCCTGCCACCCTCCCTGCCACCCTGTTCTTAATATGCTGCATTGGAATCTGGGATTTCATTCTGTCTGTGTTGTCTCTCCTCTCTGGGTGTGGGGTGCTTGTAGGTGAACTGGAACATCAAAGCCAAATGAGACAATTAGCTGTAGCCTTCTTCTCTCTGCATAGCTAACCGAAGAATGTTAATACAAGCATCACTCTCGCCCTGCTTCCAGGAGCAGATTCTGACTCTGCCAGGAGAGGCGTGGTGAGACTGTGCTCTCCTGCTGTGGCAGAATGCCAGGCTAGCATGTGCAGGTGTGAGCCCTAGTGCCATCTGAGGCCCACAGAGACCTGCGCTGCCGCTGCCACCTCTAAGCACTTAAGCAAAAGGAGTGTCATAGGCTTGGGAGGGTGTGTTTTCAGTTCTTAAAAAGCCCTCTGCAACCCACAGAACAACCCCATATCCTTAGGATAGCGAGACAAACCATTCTCTAGGAAAAGTAGTTCTAGCTGGGATGTGAGTGGCCTGAGACATCGCAGAACAGCTAAACTGGCGACGAGCGAGTTGGGGTTCCATTTGTTTTAGCGGGCCTGTGTTTTGATGTTTTCTGGGGTTTCCTCCCTGTGGCTTTGTACTTGCAGCCACTGTGCCTCCGCCTCTTCCGTTCACGGTGCTGCTCCTAGGCTATTTGAAAACGTCTGAAGCTGGTGCCCAAGCAAAACGTGCTTGAGAGTGTTTGTTTTCCTCTTCCTCATCAACATTTCTGTTTCAGGTTCTTCTGCAGCTTGGGCTCTGGCTGCCAGTGCCAGATGGCACCGTTTCTGAGAGAAGAGCTAGCTCTGCTTAGGAGTAATACCCACAAACAATGCTAAATTAGCATAAGCAAATGTCAGTGAGTTAACACAAAGCCAGACTGCTCTCTGTCTTTTCTCCTCCTAGGCCATGGGTGTGGAGAGTGACCAGGAAATCGTGCAGATGATTGGCACGGAGGAGCACGTGATGGCTGCCTTTGGGCCCAGCCTGGAGGAGTGCCAGAAAGCTCAGATTTTCACACAGATGCAGGTGTGTCTTCTCCTGTTTTCCTTGCTTGGAAATGGAGGTGGGGATTTATTTAAGGGGGCTCCTGGATGAAGCATGAGATGCAATGACTTGGGAGGGGTGGGAGAGGTGCTAGCGTGGGAGGAGCGGTGGGAGGGAAGCTTCTTTGAATAGTCTGGTTAGGGATTTGAGGAGGGTGTTGGATCACCTTAGGGTGTCTAATTTTGAGGGGTATGTGTAAGAGAAAGCTCCCCAAACCAAACTGACTGCCATCGAGTAGATGCTGACTCCCAGCGACCATATAGGACAAGGGGAGCACTCCTCCTGTGAGTTCCCAAACTAATTCTTTTATGGGTTTAGAAAACCATGTCTTTCTCCAGTGGAATGGCTGGTGGTTTTGAACTGCTGGCCTTTTGAACTACCCCACCAGGGCTGCTATATATAAGAGAAAATACTGTTTATGCACCTGATTTGCCTGAGTGACAGTATTTATTTTGTTTTTTTTATTCAATAGAAACTCTTGTAGAGATTCTTCACACACATACACACACACACACATACCACGACCCCCATACATTTCTCTTTAATATCCTTTTTCATTACATTTTCCTGAGGACATGCTGCCCCACATTCGTAAAGTGCTTTGCTCACGGTACACCCAGGGAAACACTCACTGTAGCCATCCTAGGAGGTGGGAAGTCCCCTCTAGAGAACCACCTCCACCCCCCTCACTGCCGGTCGATTTACAGCCACCCTGTAGGACCGGGTAGCACTGCCCCTGTGAGTTTCTGAGACTGTAACTGCGGGGAGAAAGCCCCGTCCGTCTCCCTCGTAGAATCACAATAGACTTTAAACTGTGGTCGAGGCAATTCATACTCACAGCAAGCACAGTAGGCAGTTCTTGTTGACTCGTGTGCAGTGACTATTGTACGGTGTAGAAGTTCTGGACTGCCTTCTCTCTTCATCCAGAATGCTTATAGCAATAGCACTCGGAGTATAAGTGAAGATGCGAAGGCCATGGGTCTGATTGTCATACATGCATGTATGTAATTCCAAAATACTGATTACTAGGGACGATTCTCTTCATTGACTTCCTTTTGTTTGTTTGTTTGTTTTTCTGTAGTTAATGAGTAGTTGATTCTAGTTATTGCTTCAGCACCAGAAAAAAGTTGTTTGGATTTAGGAGATACTGTTTTGGGCCTTTACTGAAAGTGAAATATTTGGTGGACCTGAATCTTCATTCCAAATGAAAATAATACTACCCAAGGGTTCTAAAGGCCTGAGGGAGAAAGCATCGAGAAAGGTCCAGAAAGTAGAAACTGTCCACTTTGCCCTGGGAACAGGACTAACTGGCTCAGTTTTATGAGGCATATCTTCTTTAAAGCAGTTGGTACCCTAGACCAGCCATTTACCTAAACAGTGGCCCAGAAACTACAGTAAGTCTCTAAGCCAGCAGTTCTCAATCTGGGGGTCCAATGACCCTTTCCCAGGGGTCGCCTGATTCATAACAGTAGCAAAATTACAGTGATGACGTAGCAATGAAAATAATTTTATGGTTTTGGGGGTCAACAGCACATGAGGAACTGTATGAAAGGGTTGCGGCCTGAGGAAGGTTGAGAACCACTGCTCTAAGCTGTATACCACCGACATCATCATAAATGGCCAAGTAGTTCCACCTTTGAAAGCTGTTTGAGCAGGGCTCAAATTGTAGGCTAGAAAATTACTCGTTTACTTCTGTCAAATAGACACTAAGAAATTTTCAGCTAATTAGAGCAGATCAATTAAAAGACAGGGAAATATCAAATTAGTTAACATAAGAAAAGTGCTTCTTTTCGCCCCACGGGCAGTAAAGCTTTGAAGATGCTTGTAGGAGCCCTGGCGGCATAGAGGTCCCTTCTGGGGAGCAGCTTCTGGGCTTGAACCCGTGACCTTGTTGTCAGCAGCTCAGTGTAGAGCCCACTACCCGACCAGAGCTCCAAACAATAGATAAATCCTTAAAATACACAGTAATACCCCAGAGAAACATGTTCCTTAGAAAAACTAATTATACAAGATCAGAAGGACCACATTTGTCCTAAAGCAAAGGTGAAAACACATTGTGGCGAGTGTAAACACCATAGAACTCTGTACAAACCATCCAATGCGAAATGGATTAGGACTCTCACCTCTCTCTCCCTGGAAACCATCTGGGGCAGTTCTGCACTTCCGGCAGGGTCCCTGTTGAGTTGGTATTCGCTCTGTGGCAGAGCGTTAACCTTGATGGGTGTTTGGAGTCTGGGTGGTGGGACAGTTCAGAGCTCAACTGCTGACAGCCGAACCCACCCAGAGGCACCTCCCAAGAAAGGCCTGGTGTGGCTTCCGAATGTTCCGTTGGGGGAACTCTGGAGCACAGTTTGACTGGCACACATGGGGTGGCCATGAGTCACCTGATGGCAACTGGGGGTGGCTTTGCGTCACACTGTGATTTTAATTTGCATTTCTTTGATGA